ACAAAGGCGGAGACAGCTCCCAATACCGCTGGACCAGCTTATGCAACGACACAGCGGGAGCAGCCGCCCGCTCGCCCAACCGGAACAAATACCGCGTCGCCGCTCTCCAGACAGGCGAGCACAACAAACATTCACCCCGCTCAACGACCCGGTGAAGAACGTGTTTCACCTCATTCGCGAGAGAGGCTACCGCCTCAACTGGCCCGCCGCGGTAAGGGGCACATGACGGAGGACTGTTTCAACCTCAAAGTGGAAACCGAGGCGCTATTCAAAATGGGGTGCTTAGCTGAATGCATCAAAGGGACAGACGAGCATAAAGAAAGCAACTACCCACTTCGCCCCCACTGCAACAAGAACACGATGATGCATACGTCGTGCGAAGAGAAGTAGGGTCGTCACGATAGAAGGGAACAGACCCTAGAAAGAAAACAAAGCGCGACCGTGCGATGGAATGCACGTCGACAGACCTATTGAAAACAACATAAGCTTTAAAGATACGGAATTCCCGTGTGGAATCCCTTCGGAGGACCCGCCTACCATCACTGCGCTGATCGCGGCATGCAAAATCCACTGATTACTCGTCGATGGAGGAAGCATGGCAGACGTGTTGTTCAAGAACACCTTGGACAAAATGGGCGTCGACCCGCGCATGATAAAACCCGCGCGAGGCAACCTGGTGGGCTTCTCGGGTACCTAGGTGGCAGTGATAGGAACAATCACGCTACCGGTGGTGGTTTGTGATGAGGAACCATGAAATTCCAAGCAAGTCGACTTCACCATCGTCGAATGCAACTCACCTAACAACACCATACTAAGACCTTTCCTAGGAAAGTTCATGGCAGTACCTTCTATGTGCCACCAAAAACTCAAATTCCGCACCAAGGCGGGAGTGGGTGAAGCACGTGGCCTCCCTTGGAGTGAAACATTGGAGCCACTCGCAATAACATAGGATGAACATCATGGACACAAGGTCGGAAGACCCGCGCCCCGAGTCTATGGACTCTGATTTTGAAATTTCGTTAGATCCAAATCAACAAGGAAACAAAGTAAGCATCTCAACACATGTCCCGCACGACATGATTGAACCGTTGGTCAAACTCCTACAAGAATACAATGAGTTGTTCGCATGGTGCACTGAAGACATGCCTAGAGTCCCAAGGACCGTGGCCCAACACAATCTTGAGGTCCTCAACAATGCGGAGCCGTGACAACAAACCTGGCGCACCTTCAGGAGCGTGGCGGATGTGCATTGATTACACCACCATAAATAAGGTGTGCCCTGGAGATCCCTATCCCCTCTCGCGGATCGACCAACTAATCGATGCTACGTCTGATCACGAGACGCTATCCTTCTTAGACATGTTCTCGGGATACCATCAAATCCTGGTGAGCCGTGAAGACGAAGAGAAAACGTCCTTCATGACCCCATTCGGGAATTTCTGCTTCGTAGGGATGCCCTTCGGCCTCACGAACGCCGGTGCCACCTACCAGCGAATGATCGACTCCGTGTTTGCGCTCCAGATTGGGATGAACGTGGAAGCCTATGCTGACAACCTCATCGCCATAACCAAAGGAGAAAACTCACATATTGAGTACCTTCGCGAAACGTTCAAGGCAATGCGTGAAAACAACCTCCGCTTGAACCCCCTCAAATGCCTGTTTGGTGCCAAATTGGGCAAATTCTTGGGGGTCATGATATCAAAGCGAGCCATTGAAGTAGATCCGAAGCAAATTATGGCGGTGCAATAGCTACGCCCCCTATAAACACCACTGTGACGCAATCGCTAAACGGAAAGCTCGCCATGCTTAGAAGGTTCATACCAAGATCCGCCGACAAATGCGCGCCTTTCTTTCAGACATTGAAGAGCGGAACAAAGTTCGCATGGACTCAAGATTGTGAATCGGCGTTCAACGAGCTCAAAATGTATCTTGTATCCCCCCTGTACTCACCGCCCCAAAACTTAATGAAAGGCTTTTCTTGTATATCGCCGTGTTGCTAAGAGCTGTGAGTGCGGTACTAGTCTCAAAGAGAGAAGCGCAAACAGAAAAACCTGTCTACTACACATCCCAAACTCTGCTCAATGCTGAGACGAGGACTCACCAGTAGAAAAGGCGGCCTTGGCCCTTGTAAGCGCATCACAAAAATTGCGACCCTACTTTCAGGCTCACACAATCATGATGCTTACGAACCTACCCCTCAAGCGCGTCTCCTAATGCACCGGAAAACATGTGATCACCTCATGGTCTTGCCGCGTAATCTCAAGTTTGCACTTGCCCCGCGCGAGCTAGACCGCCTTCCTCAAGAGCCTCGCAGAAAGAGATCTTCAAGACGACGTCGAATAGCCTACCTTCACACCTGGCATGCGAGAATCACCCTCCGCGAGACATATCCACGTGAAGAAAGGACTCGCGCAACGTGAAGCCCAAGACTACGTCGTAGTCCTGACATGTTGTCACTTCTCATTTGTAGACCTAATGATATTCTAGTTGTGTGTCTTATCCAAACGTCGTGTCGTCTGAAATCCCCACCCTCCTAGAAGTGCCTATAAATAGAGCATTTACCCTAGTGGGTGAGGGGATCGATTTTTCCTTTCACACACTAATAATTCAAGAAGCTTCTCTTTCTACAATTCTATCTCTCCATGCTTGGACACATCTCCCACTAAGTGTATAAGCGGATCCCTTCTCTCCTCACTCGCACCCCATTCCCCCAGTGTGTCCCTCCTGCACTCAGTTAGGCACAGACAATTATCATGAGTCAATTTGGGTATTCTCATGTTCAAACCCTCTAAACCTACAAAATAGAAAGACACACCCACTAATAAAATTAAATTTTCTCGAATATTACAGGTACTTGTGTTTGGATTTGACAGCTGGCTCGATTTTTTGACTAGTTTTGTGCACTCTACATTTGTTTTATTCATGCCACATGATCATAAGCTTTGGCCATATCAAGTTTAGTAGAAAGACACCTCTTATGGGCCGTCGACCTTTTCCACATAGAATGAAATCACTCAACGCTGCTGATTCGGATCAAATTGTACGCATTTTGCCCCTCATTTCTTGATAGTTTGACTTTGCATTTCATCGTTCCTCAACATATTTCACGCTAGGTTGTGCTTGTTTTGATACATTTGAGGTCCTTGCACGTGTGGAAGGGTCGAGTACCATTTTCGGGACGATTGGAGGTCAAAAAAAGCGCAAAAAAACCGAAGAAAAGTCCCCGTGATAGTGAAGCGCATGCTTCCAAGAATCAGCTGTAGTTCACGGCCTGGCATTGGAGTTCACGGTCTAGATCCACAAACCGTGAACGACAAAGTGTCCAGGAGGGTTCCAGAGGTTACTGACGACCAGGCAGTTCACGGTCTCTAAGCCCGTGAACCCTGGAGAGTGAAGCAGTGCGTTTTGGAGACGACACTGAGTTCACAGACGCGTTTAGGTGTTCACGGTCGTGAATTGGGCGCAATCTCAGTATAAATAGATAGCTGAAAGGAAGAAGTAGGGGAGCTCATTTTTAGGTTAGGTTTTCAATTTTCAGAATAAAGAGGATTATAGTGAGAGGTTAGGGTTTCTTCTATAGTGAGAAAGTGCAAATCAAAGGAGGAAGAAGGAGCTTTAGGCTTGTTCCTAGTTACACGATAGAAGATTTCTTCATCTCAAGGGTGTCTCAAGCAACAAGGTGGAAAGATTGGCATCACTTCATGGTTCTTTCTTCCCCTTTTGTTGTTTTCTGTTGTCTAGCTATGGAATAACCTACTTACTCAATTGGGTATTGTGAATCCTAGTCTCTCTATGTGTTAGGATGTAAGAACATGAACCTATTGTATTGGTTGAGTGTTTTATATGATATTTGAGGGATCATTCATTAATGATTGAGTTTGCTAGCTTTAACTCAATATTGGGTAAAATTGACCTAGAGGGTGGAAATCCCCTTTTGGTCCAATAGGAAGCTAGACTTCTTAGCCAATTTGATAACCTCCTTTAGGTCGATTTAAGACCAAAATCTCAAGTGTCTGAGTAGAGTCGTGATTCCATCGGGATTGGTCTCTCTGCCGACCGAATTAAGTTCCAAGGGATTGGTTTGCAATCCTTAGTCGGCTAGTCGAGAGGGTTAGGTTTCCTAGCCTATCCTTGTCACCCTTAGCCAAAAGGTTAAGTGAGTTAGATTTCTAACTTTTTGCAACGATTCTCAATTAGCTAACTAAGAGAGTTAGGGATCTCCTTGGTTGATCGGTGAAGAGGGCTAGGTTCCCTAGCTATGAATCACAATCCTTAACCTAACGATTAAAAGAGCTAGTTCTCCTAGCTTATATTTGTTGATTTCCCTTCATTTACTGAGTAACGGAGTTTGTCCCTAGCTAGTTGCACCCACCTCATGGTGTATGAACACGTCCTTGACGCTAGAGCTTTGTTTGTCGCTTCTTAGCATGAGACTAGGGGGAGAAATACCCGGGTGAAGTCCTCCCGAGTAGAATTCTCCTCCATTTACTTTCCTTGCTTGTTTAGTTTGTAGTTTTCTTAGTTTTAAACCCAAAATTGTTTTGCTAGACAGCAACTTAAGTGATTGAAGTAGGGGTACATGGATCGGCCCAAGTTTGATAATTAAATACTTGCCCTATACTACACCCTGCCTATGACCAGTTTTAATCTCTTTGACAACACTTTCACAACCATCCTGTATACTACATTGCACAAACTAATGGAGCGATATTCGGGTCAGATCAGGTCCGTAAACCCCCTTTCTTAAGGAGGATCTTAAACCTATTCCAGCCAATAGGAGAAGGAGAGAGAGAAACACTAGTAATCATTAGCTAACTACCTACAAGGGTAAGACTGGAATATAATAAAAATTTAATGATATTAATGATTAAAATTAAAATGGATAGAAACCCTCACTTTGAAAAATTTATTTCCGTAATTTTGTACTCCTCCCAACCCTATAACAGTTTCCATAGAAGCCACATCTGCGATCCCGGCGGCGGCTTCCCGTCGCTTCCCGTATGCAATTCCGCTGTCGGTGTCCCGTCGTCACGTCGCCATCTCGCCGTCGATGTCAATTCCCCTTGCCATCACGCCGTCGATTCCATCGATTCCTCCCGTCGTCATGTCTCCATAACACCGTCGATTCTTCTCGCCGTCGCGCTGTTGATTCCTCTTGTCGGCTTCCTGTCCTCACGATGCCATCTCGTAGTGTTCCAGTAAGCAACCTGGCCGCCGGCGTCTTGACGACAAAGTGGACTATGTACCCGGCATATGGAATCATCGAAAGCTTTTTATGAGTATTTCATTTGGTTATTATATATTGGCTTATGTTGGTATTAAAGTGTTCCATTGAAAATGTTAATAACGTAAGGGAAAATGATAATAACGTACATGGAAATATAGATAATCCATCAGGCTGCAATTTGTAGATTCGTGGTGTGTTAATAATTAAATGGAATATAATTAATAATAACTTTATGGTTTGTTAATAATCGATTAATCATCCATGAAATACCTTGGTTTGTTAATAACTGAATTGGGTGATGATTTTACTAACTTTGCTTATAATGATAATAACGTAAGTAAATATATTAATAACGTAGGTGAAAATATGTTAATAACAATTGAAAATATTAATAACGTCAGTAAATATGTTAATAACGTAGGTGAAAATATGGATAACGTAGTTTGTTGACATTATCACTTGTACAAAGCTTTAACCTCGTGGTCTATTAATAATTCGAGAAGGTATAATTAATAATAACGTCATTGTTTGTTGATAATTGACAAAGAAATATATTTGCATGTGGATAAGTGTATAGGTGAAATGCTAATAACCCAGGTTAAAATGATAACGACGTAGCTGAAAATGTTGATAACGTAAGTAAATATGTTAATAATGTAGGTTAAAATATAGATAACGTAGTTTGTTGACATAATCACCGATGCAAAGCTTCAACCTCATGGTGTCTTAATAATTTGAAATGGTATAATTATTAATAACGTCACGGTTTGTTATAATTAACAAAGAAATACATTTGCGTGTGGATAAGTGTACAAGTGAAAATGTTACTAACGGAGATTAAAATGATAATGATGTAGATGAAAATGTTGATAACGTATTGAGTTAATAATTCAACAAGATATAGTTAATAATAATGACGTAGTGAAAAGGTTAATAATTAATAATAACGTCATCATTCGTCATCAACTCTGGGTGCAACTGTCTTCTCCATCCTCTTACTAAGCAATGCAGGCTTACACACTGTATTATTTGTACGCGGCATATTGTGGATCACTGCCAAAAATTACAAATTGCATATAAATATATTAATAACCCGTGTTAGAACAACAAAAAATACAAACGGAAAATGTTAATAACATAAAACGAAACATTAATAATGCAATTTCACAAAGTCACAAACAAACCTAAAATTGTTGAACATGTATCACCTTTTTGTATGGTTGTATACTGTGGGGTAAGAAAAAAAAAACCAAAAAACCTGAATAATGTACATGTTATTTGATAATGCGGGATGAGAAATGTACAAATATTGATCAAATCGTTATAAATATAAAAACTTTAACCATCGCCCTGGAAATTTTAAAAACCACTGCGACATAATTTTCGAATGAACTTTATCTGTAAACCAATTTCGAATACCAACAAAAAGATTGACAATGGCGACAAGCACATTACTGATAGTGTCGTGTTAAATATTACTAACTGAAAAAACTCGTTAATAACGAGCATGTTAACTATTAATAATATAGCAGTTAAAGGTTAATACTCGCGGAAGAAACGTTAATAACGCCGTCGTAAAACTGTTGAAACGATAATTTAAGATATCGGGTGAATAGATTGACCATCACTATTCAAAAGATTATAAATCATTCAACCTTAAATTGATTTTTAACTGTATAAGTAAAAAACCCTAAGCACCCATTAAACAAAACTTACCAATAGCATATACATCAACGCAAAACCCTACACCCATGCATTGCCAAAACCTACACCCATGCGGGGCCTGGAAAACCCTTACATATGAAATAAAATATGAACACGAAAATCACCTTGACGCCGCCGCCGAGAGATCAGGGATCGACGACGAAATGGACGGGAATAAGAACAACGCTAGTGACGCCCGGATGGGAAGGCCTTCAACGCTAGTGGTCTTGGACATGGAGGACTTCACCGCTAGTGTCGCCGGACGGGGAGTAAAACTACCTTCTCAATCTTACGCTGGAGTATGTGAGCGATCGACTAATCCGACGGCGGAAACAGAAACTGGGGTTCAGCTTTTGTGGAAACGGAAGTTAGTTTAGGTTTAGGGAGAATCGGAAAACCAAGCCGACGGCGGAGACTGTTGCTGGGAGCAGAAGGGACGTCGAAGAACGCAACCGGAGGGACGGCCGGAGAACACAGATTGACGAAAACGTTGACAGAGACGGTTCGTCTTGGAGGAAGAAAAAAGACGGGATGTGGGTTTAGGGTTTGCTATTTGTGTTTTTAAATTATTAATAATTTCCTAAATACCCTTAACAACTAATTAATTAATAACTCCTCTCTAACTACCAAAATTTGCAGCAGCCAATCACAACACTTTAAGATTCTGCTTAAAAAAAGTGGGTTTAAGGACCTGAACTTAGGCCAGCGATATTCCACTGGCGATGCGGTATAGGCGAGACCCATAGCGTACTGTGACGAAGCAATTTCCTCACTTCACAGCGAAAGGTGCACGAAAAGAATAAATGAGTAGAAGAGGAAGAGAAGTGCCTTTTCTTTTGATTTTGATTTTAACATTTTTTCTGGTTTTATTAATTTATTAGCTAGACCAGACCTACACATTGATCACAACCCCAACCATTTTATTCAAACCAGGCAAAAAATAGTGACGGCACCGGTGCAGTGACGCTAGTGCAAGAAATATTTGTTAAGAACAATACGCATACACACAACACAAGATTTACGTGGTTCTTCTCATTTGGTGGAACGAGCTTACTCCACGGAGAATTTATGCTATCTCAGCTTGCAGCCGATCCAGTTACACTACATATGTATAACCCTAATCAACTACTCTCCTAGGGCTATACACAACCAAAGACCAAGAGGGGAAAATATAATTAAACCCCCTAGGCTTTATACGAATGGAAACTATAAATAACTATCTTTACACTTCCCCACAAGTTGAGGCATGCAGGTTACAAATGCCAAGCTTGGATAAGAGAGGGTGAAAACACTCACCGGCGAGACCCTTAGTGAACAAATCAGCGAGCTACACTGCAGTAGATATCTTCTAAGGGCGAATCTCGCCTGAAGTGCATGATCCCGGACGAAGTAGCAGTGGAGCTCAACATGCTTCGTACGCTCTTGAAACACTGCATACGCAGCAATACATAGAGGTGTCTGGTTGTCACAGTGGAGAACAGTGGAATTGGTGCTGACAACACACATATCTAGTAGCAGAGCACGAAGCCAGATGACTTCACTAACAGTAAGTCACTAACAGTATTGGCCATGGCATGGTATTCAGCCTCGCCAGAAGATAGTGCAACCACATATTGCTTCTTTGTGTGTCAGGAAATAGGCACACCATCCTGTGTATTAAAATACCACAAGAAACGTGGGTGAGGACTCCTCAATATCCACCACAGGAGACGGTGGAGGAGTGTTTGCCAATGGCGAGGAGGACGACGTAGACCCGCGGAACGGAAAGATGGTCTCAATGAAGTGGACGTCTCGAGAAACATAGAAGGTTCGAGAGGTCAGGTCTAAGAGACGACACCTCTTATGAGAAGCTGGGTATCCCATAAACACAGTACGCCTGCCACGTTCGTCAAACTTGGAAATCAGTTTATGAGTATCTTTCCCGTACGCCAAACATCCCAGGACACGAAGATGAACGTATGATGGAGATTTCCCAAGGAGAACTTCGTAGGGAGAACGATCCTGCAGGATCTTGCAGGGTAAACGATTGATGAGGTAAGTGGCTGTCAAGACACAATCCCCCCAAAACCTCAACGGTAAGTTCACTCGACACCGAAGTGCACGAGCTGTTTCAAGTAGATGGTGGTGTTTCCGCTCTACAACCCCATTATGCTGTGGGTTATCCGTACAAGACGTTTGAAGAACAATGCCTTTATCCTTGTAGAACTCACGAAGACCACTCGTCTGAAACTCCAACCCATTATTAACCTGTATATGTGCCACCTGCTGATTAGATTGAGTTGCAACCATATTGATAAACATTCTTAGATACCCCACAACATTCGATTTGTAAGACATAAGATAGACCCAAGTGACTCAGAGAAAATAATCATCAAAGAATCGTAAGAAAATAGCGGGCTGAGTACCGAGTAGGGACCTTGAAACTGCCCCAAATATCCATATGAATGAGTGTCTTTATCAAATGCATAGGAAATGAAAACAGTTTCTGTTTAGCTTGCATAGAAGAATCATAGGTCTCACTACTGCATTTATTTTGTCCTGAACAAAATAATAAAGGTGTTTTCTGCTGTGATGGATGACCCAGCCGAAAATGCCAAAGCTCCACCGCACCAGTGCCTCGGTGCTACTAGCAACCAAAGCGTGAGACTCTTCAGCACCATACAATCGAAGGTAATATAACCCATCACGAAGTTGACCCGTCCCAATAGTCTCCCTAGAGTGTAAGTCGTGGATTACACAAAAATCGCATAAAACGTTAAGGCTACATCGAAATCCTGAGTGAGCCTGCTGACTGACAAAAGATTGCACTTAAACCATGGAAGACTGAGCACCCGACTAAACTTCATAACATTTGACAAACTGACTTCCCCAACTCGTTTAACTGTCCCCATTCGGAATGCTAACTGGTAAGTAACCCAGTACCTCACCAGAATTTTCTAACAAAGATTCATCATTCGTAATATACTCATCGCATCCCGAATCTATGATCCATTCAGACTGAGAAAGAAAAGTACCTGCCATATTCACTTGCAGGTCAAACGACGAAGACAGACTTCGCTGCCCACCATTGTGATTAAGGAATTTTAAGAGCTGTTGAACTTGATCGGAGTTCAATCCCGGAATGCTGAGACCTGCACCAGCGAAGGACTGCGGAACACGAGAAATTTTGGGTCGTCCTGGGCGATACCTCTCTCGCTCACCTTGACAAGGCTCGCGATCTCTCTCCCTCTCATCTGGTCGAGGTTTTCTTTCCCGCCACTCTTTGCGGTCTATTCAAATATGGAGCAGGTCGATCTTGACGAACTTGTAAAGCAGCCGCATCAATAGTAGGTTGCCGATTGGTAGCAATATGCTTGTGATGTTCTTCTGTTGAAACCAAACGATAAGCCTCTCCAAGGGTCGGGGTTGGTTCATGGACAAAATTTATGTTTTCATAGTCCTGAATGCATACCCTAGACCAATTAGAAAATCAAACAGTCTATCATTCTCCAGATTAGTCATTACCTTCTTGTCTATCTCACACGTGCATCCGCCACAAATGCATTGTGGGATAAACGTGATGGTTTGCATATCCTCTCAAATTGCCCGCAACTTTGTGAAGAAGGTAGAAACCGTGAGCTTTTCTTGTCGCAAAGTACTCATCATTTGATGAAGGTCATATGCCCTAGGCGTCGATACACGTCCAAATCGCGCCTCAAGCTCGAGCCACATCTCGCGTGCAGTCTTGGCGTAGCTAATCGACCTGCGCACCTCCATCTCCATGGGTTTTTTCAACCATACGTTGACAAGGGCATCACACTAAAGCCATGCTACTTGTAACTCACCCGCAGATGCTGGCTTGACCACGGTTCCATCAACGATGTCGAGCTTGTTCATTGCAATCAAAGTCTCGGTCATATCCGTGACCCATTCTCAGTAATTGGAATCATTCAACAGTTCACTAACGAATAGTTGACCCAGATGGTCTGACGCTTGGATCCTCAGCGCGGTAAGGATGACCAGAGGGGGGACAGCACCTCCTCCGCCGCCATTAGGGTTGATTAGATCTCTACTGCTGCCGTCCGTCTCCTTACCACTCATTGTGAAGACTTAGGTTTTAGAAAACCAGCTCTGATATCATGAAATATTTGTAAAGAACAATATGCAAACACACAACACATGATTTACGTGGTTCTTCTCATTCTGTGTGAATGAGCTTACTCCACGGAGAAGTTATGATATCTCAGCTTGTTATTAATTAGTTTGCAGCCGATCCCGTTAATATATATATAACCCTAATCAACTACTCTCCTAGAGCTATATACGACCAGCGACCAAGAGGGTTAAAGACAATTAAACCCCCTATAAATAACTATATTCACTGCAGAATTGTGGTATAATATAATAGACGTAATACAAATTTCTTTTTTTGGTTCGGATTGTGGGGTAAACAAGGTCCGAACGCCAGCCTTATGTGTGTAAGGCTTGAAACTTGATATTGCATCCAATACACACATAAGATCGAGTAGAGAAAGCCACATTTTATTAAGTAATTGGCAACTGATCATGATCAGTACATACCAATTGAATACACAACAACAGAAGACACACGTACAAACGTAGAGATGTATGGAAATTAACAATCCAAAAGAAAACAGAGGAGGAGATTAATAGTTGAGTAAGAAAATGCATGCATGCAGGAGCAGGAGCAGGAGCAGCAGGGATATTCATTAGACGAAGGCACTGAGAGCATTCCTGAGGTTAGCGATCTGCTTATCCTTGGCGGCAAGCTGATCGTCTTTCTCCTGTGCCTGCTTCTTGAGCTCCTCGTTCTCCTTCTTGACTGCAAGTTGCTCGTCCTCCTTCTCCTTGACCTGCTTCTTGAGCTCCTCGTTCTCCTTCTTGGCTGCAAGCTGCTCTTCCTCCTTCTCCTTGGCCTGCTTCTTGAGCTCTTCGATCTCCTTCTTGGCGGCAAGTTGCCCGTCCTCCTTCTCCTTGGCCTGCTTCTTGAGCTCCTCGATCTCCTTGTCCTTCTCGGCCTGAAGCCTCTGGTTCTCCTTCTCCTTCTCCTCCAACTCCTTCTTCGCTTGTGCTGAGCCCGCGCCAGCGGCCCCAACCATGAGCTTCCCGGTGGTGAGCTCGAACCGGTCCCACGCGGTCTCCACCGGAATGTTGACCTGGACCCCGTGCTTGGACCAGTCGTAGAGGTCGTTGAGGCGGCGCAGGACGCTGTTGGGCCTGAGGTTGGTGCTCCCGCCGCCAGGGTTGAGCCACGTGACCATGAACCCTTCCCTGTTGACCATCCTCTGCCCCCCGGAGATGCCCCTCCTCAGCTCCTCCACCTTCCCGCCGGTGAACGCCACGCCCAACACTTCCAGCTCACGGTGGGTGCAGTACTTGTTGCTCCCGATCCGGGCCGCTTGCTTCCAGCTTATGGGATTTCTCGGGACGTCGTGGGTGTTGAGATCCGGCGAGTAGGCGCCTTCCATCACCCTGATCGTGCCGTCGCTGATGCCAATCAGCCATAGATTGTTGGAGTTCATCACGAAGCGAGACATTTTTCTGATTAATGCTCTCTCTCTTTCTCTTTCTCGACCAAACTAGTAATATTTTTTTATTAACTGCTAGCTTTGTGATGTATTGGTCTGTGTGGAATGGAACCCTATTTATAGTAATGAGAACATTACCCTACTACGTACTACTAAAGGTATTTGCTCTCTGTCAATATAATGAGTATTAATTCACAGGTGGGAGTGGGATCTCTCTCCCAACTTCCCCGATCGAGTATGTTACTTAATTGCTAACTATTATTGATCGAGCTGGTGCCCATGTGGTTGTATGGTTACTTACTTACTTATTGGATGCACAACCAATGTTTCGGAAAGCCTTAGGCATACAGCAGATAGTGGGATCTGGCTCGCCGAGATACACCTCAGAGCTGGAAGAAATATAAAATAAAAAAATATCTCGCAATCACCTAGAATCATAAGTTGATGAATTCAAAAGCATCTCGCCAGCCTCTCGTTTCTAAATGTTACGAGACAGAAAATTTGAAGAATTCTTGACTCGTAATCTCCTTGCAATAAAACTAACAAACTACGGTAAAACGCGATAAATTGTGAGAGTTATTCAAAATCTGTGTTGATAAAGGATTTTGATGTAGTAGTGGTTCTTCGGTAACTGATATCTATTTATTTCAAGATCTGTGCTGACGCTAATTACTACACAGAAATCAAAATTTCTTAAATAACTACTGATGACAATTAAATCACTACGAGAAAATTTCTAAATCAATACAAGAAAATTTAAAATCCCCACTATAACCATCATAATCGCTACTAATCTAAGCAATAGTTTTTTTATCAATGTAGTACTAATATTTCAGTAGTAATATTTTTTTTCGTAAATAGTATTTATTGAAAAGAGAGTTATTCAAAATTTAAATAATTAATTTTTATTATTAAATTTATATATTTTTAATTATTAAATTAATTTAATGGTATACCAAATAAACCCCTCATTATCTACACAATTAGATTTAACTTAAAACTAATCAATGGTGATTATAATGGTTAGCATGGTAGGAGTTGGCACTCTTAATCTTAACTCCTCCCCACGACGTCATTGTAAGGTACTACTGAATATTGCCTAGACACCTATGGAGAAAGACAATTCACAGCTTATGCGTACCTAAAATTAGTAGGTGTTTTCCTTCTCCCTCGTGCCAACGAGGTTAAGCCCGCGCCTAATCAGGGTTAATCTGGTTAATTGGGTAAGCCAGCCCGCGCCTAATCAGCTTGTTGAGAACCATATACACAACTAAGTGATTTATTTATATATTATATACAAAATTTATCGGGGTCCTATTTATTTATTAATGTCTACTTACGGGGAGAAGAAAAAGATTCCCATAATACACTCTCCGCGTCGCGCCATATTTTTATTAATGAATCCAGGATCAGGATCACGTTGTTAATATTATTCTTTTTTCATAACTCACGTGGTTAATTATTTACATGAATACAAAAGCGGAAATTCTTCTATACAAAAGCATGTAGTTAATTATTAACCTTTTTCCCTTTATGGAATGATCACTCTCGATATCATCACTTGCATAAGCTTTTTTTTATAGAAATCATCGCTTGCATAAGTTAATTGGTGATGTTGAGTTGTCTTCACCTTTCTAATCATAATGATCTGTGGTGCAGCAATAGGTAGGGATGGCAATTTCGACATGATCCATTTTACCCGACTTGTTTGGCTTGTTTTGGGCGGGTCCGACAAGCCTTGTAGGCGGGACGGGGCGGGCATGGGTACCTCTCGTCGACCCGACCTGCCCTGACCCGCCCCATTCTCGACCGTTCTTGTCTAAATTACATGTAATCTTAGTAAAATTACTTAGAATTTTCCTCATATTACCTCATAATTTAGCTATATTATATTGTAAATAAGTGAAAATCTCAATTTCTCCAATACTTTAACTACTATTTCCAAATACACTCCCCGCGTCCCGCTATATTTTATACATTAGAGAATGCAGAATCACATGGTTAATATTATTCTGTTTCCTAACTCAGGTGGCTAATTATATAAATGAATACACCTGGTTAACTGGTACTTTTCAGCTGTCGATATCATCACTTGCACAACTTAACTGGTAATTTTCAGCTATTAACCTTTTCCTTAATTTGAATGATCACTGTCGATATCATCACTTGCACAACTTAACTGGTACTTTTGAGCTGTTTACCGTTCTAATCATAATAATCATTGCTGCAACAACGATATATTTTAAGATATCTTAGAAAAAAATCCTTCCAAACTTCAAAACACGTGTAGGGTGAAGAAAAAAATTCAAAATCGATCCATTGCAATCCAAGGGGTTGTTTGGAAGTTGTGATTCTTCAAATTGATGTATTGGGACAATTAGTGTATTATCATTTGATGGATTTAATCAATCGATGTATTAGGTAAATATCTTCTTTGGAGGTTTAGATTGTGTTTTTGTTCGAAAGGTAAAAAAGTTAGTATTGAGTGATTGTGAAGAATCTCAACAAAAAGTAGATATTGTAAATCCCTCAATATTGAGTGATTGTGGTGGGGCCTCCAAAAAATAAATACATGTATTCTAGTTCTATATAAACCAAAAAAACGACTTAATCTCACAAATACATGCATTAGATTAATACACCATTTGAAATCACTACTTCCAAACGACCCCCAAATCGACCAACCAGTAATATTCGAAAATGTTCAATTTTATGAGTGGGTGAGTTTCAATTTTAAAAATCAAAATCTTGTGATCGGGTGCGTTAATTAAGACTCGAGTGGATGAAGAAATGTTGAGGGCGAGTCACACGTGCATGAGCTATCTACTCCCACGCAAACGTCAACGCGCGAGATTCCCTCGAGTATGGTATGGTTACTGAACCGCAATACTTTCACTAGGGGGTTAAAGAAAAATCACTACAACAATAATGGGCTTCTGTGACGACCCTAAATGGCAATGTTAAATTTTGGTCACAGACATATTTCGTGAACAATAATTATTGGTCGAAGCCTTGGTCACATTCTGTTGGGACTTTTTGGGATGAGGGTATACGTACGATAGTCCGAGACCGGGTGACCAGGATTGTGATAGAGTCGTGAACTAACAGCTGAACAAAAACAATCACAAGCTGAAACGCATCATTTAAGCTTGAGTGACGTCGTACAAGGGAAGAAGAAGAAGATGGCGCCAAGTCAGGAATAGGAACGTTAGAGTTCAAATGTCCGTCTTCTCTGTTTTCACCTCTGTACTTTTTCACTTTGTTTAACCTTCAAGCTTTGGACTGTAGCTACTGGAAACCATATATATGCTTCAAAGTGAATGAGAACAAATCAGGTTTTGTAGAGTTTCCATTTCATCTTTGTTGTTATGGTATCAGAGCCTCAACCCTAGCCGCCGCTAACATACAATGGCCGCTCATCAGGCCAACCCCTCTTCCACCCACTCCCAATGTCCGATCCTTACTACCTTCACGGGTCAGAGCAACCCGGTCTTCTCTTGGTAGGTGAAAAACTCACCACCACAAACTATAATGATTGGAGCAAACCAATGTTTAATGCCCTTGGATCGAAGAACAAAATCGGCTTCATTGATGGCACCATTGTTCCTCCTGCTGCTACTGATGCCCTCTATTGGTCCTAGAGTCGCAACAACATCATGATCCTCAGCTAGATCCAACAGGCTGTCGAACAGGTATTCGAAAAACTCTCATGTCTCTCAAACTCGCATCTGAGGCCTGGCTAAACTTGAAAGCACGCTATGGTCAAGGTGACGTTGTTCGCATAGCTGAACTAATTGAGGCTCTCTCTAGCTTGAAGCAAGGCACTCAAACCCTAAATGAATATTATGGTCAGTTCATTAATCACTACTATTCAGGATGAATTAGATGGGTATCAGCCGATTGAGCTTTGCACCTGCACAGAAACAAGTCCTCAGTTGTGTGCTGCTATTATGTTGGTTCTTGGCTATAGAGACACGAACTATATCATTCAATTCCTTCGTGGTCTCAATGAAAACTATAGCACTGTTCAATCCCAAGTCCTGTTTGGTGACACGCTTCCATCGAGAGCACTTCTACTATGCTACATAGTATTGGTGCTTTAATGTACAACTTAAAGTTATACCATAACATTAAATGTATAAGTTTAGGTTGTACCATAAAACAATTTGTATCATTATGTTATGGTACAACTTTACAACTTAAAGTTGTACCATCATATAAAGGTACAAGTTCAAGTTGTACCATAAAAGAATTTGTACAAAAAGTATAGGTACAATCTGAAGTTGTACTATAACGTAAATGTACAATTTTAAGTTGTACCATAAAGGCAAAAACCTATAGCACCAATACTATATAGCATTGTAAAATTTCTCTTCCATCGATTGACAAAGTATTCCAAAGGCTCCTCCAACATGAGAGGCAACAGTATGGCACTCAACAAGGCAAAGTCCTTGTTTCTGACTCTTTTGCTCTGGCCTCTCAAGGCAGACGTGCTGGCCCCCCGGCAGGCCCTTCTGCACTTACTGTAAACAAAATGGTCACACTGAGGATGTGTGTTACCACAAGCATGGCTGGCCGCCTGGTATGCTTCCAAGGCCTTTACCAACCGCCTCTAAGCCTATGGAGTGCACATTTTGCAAGAGGAAAGGGCAAACTGAGGACAGATGCTATCATAAGCATGGCTGGCCTGCTGGAGGACAACCTCGACCCATTCAGTCTACTCCTGTTTCCAGACCCCAATCTAATGTTGTCATTTCCAGTGATTCTGTTGCTGCTGAACAAGAATTTCGTCTGATCAAATCTAATTATGATCGATTCATGGCAATGCTCAAAGAGAAGGGCTCTCAGAAGCAGTCTCAACACACTGTAGCTGCCTTCAACAGCTATGAAGGCTCACCAGGTAAATCATCCTTCACTGTGTTTGGTAGGAAACCAACCAGTTCTACCTGGATCTTGGATACTGGTGCCTCTGACCATATTGTATGCTCCCAGCACTTGTTAGAGAATTGCAGACCTGTTTCCAATATCTTCATTTCCCTCCCCACTGGTGATCAAGTGGCTGCTATACACATAGGTACAGTCACATCAGTG